GTCTCGGTCTCGTTCTTGTTTTATGTTCGAATATTAGTAATTGAGGTCTTTAAAACTGCACCTTTGTGATTTCAAGTGAATGACTTTCATTATAGAATAGACGAAAGAGTTCTAAAGATCTGAGTTAATAATATTCGAACATAAAACAAGAACGAGACCGAGACTTAAAAGCGAGACCGAGACCGAGACCGAGACTTGAGCGAGACCGAGACCACCGAGACTAAAACGAGACCGAGACCGAGACTACGAGACTACGAGAGCCTCGGTCTCGTAACATACCTAATTAAAATATCCAGCTATTTCAAGTTGCCCTAGTGCAAATTAAAATTTTAAGTTGCCCTGTAGGGAAATTTTAAACTCTTCTGGAAGATAAAGTCACACTAGTTATTTTAATTTCCACTGTAAGGAGAAATCAAAATTTACTACTATATCCGTCGGAAATGCATAAAATGATAGAAAGAAAAAAAGCAAAGGAAATAGATAGATAGATTGATATTTTGAAAGGACTTTTGATATTTTTATGGTAATAAAGAGATAGCTTGAGTGTTTCTATGATTTGTGGATTTCCGACGGATATAGTAGTAAATTTTAATTTCTCCTACAGTGGAAATTAAAATAACTAGTGTGACTCTATCTTCCAGGAGAGTTTAAAATTTCCCTATAGGGCAACTTGGGATAGCTAGATATTTTAATCTTCCCTAGCGCAAATTAAAATTTCGATTTGCCCTAGGGAGATGTAAAATTCCCCTGATTTGAATTTCCCCTGCCACATATATAAAAATTCCTTAATCAGTTAACGTTAACTAGAAAAGGGTAAAAGTCCTCGGAGGATTTCGGCCGTACCGGATTCTCCCCGGATATGGTGGAAATCTTGGACGGGGAGAGTGCTCTAAATCAATCAGATTGTGTTGGTTGTCTATAACTTTTAGTCATGGAACAGTGGATGAATCTCTGAGACCTGCCAAAATTTTGTTTGTAAAAAGTTGATGTGTATGTTAGCTATAACGGCTTCAGATAAAAGGATTAAACTTTTCCTGTGTGTATTAGTGTTTCGATAATCATAATGCTGGTTTTTAGACAATTTATGCCAAATTCAGTTTTACATGAACATTAGCTTACATTCCACGCTTGAAATTTGAATCACACATCGATAAAGAGTAGAGGTGTCACAGGCTCTCGCCTTCACACCTTCTCTCGCTCTCTCATTCCTCTCTTTCGTTCTGTTGACTTGTTCCTGTTTAGCGATATATAGTTCGTTCCACTTTTTCTCTATCGTGATTCTGGACTTCACTATTTCGTGCGTTTCTATATGTAGCATGTCCCCTAGATATTCCTTCTCTCCCTTGTTCTCGATGTCATCCATCTAGTCGTTCACCACTTTATTCTGACCACTATACGCATATATATATATATAGTGAGAGAGAGAGACCAATTTTCTGATGTTCGATTAGAGAGTTGTTTTTCCTTCCCTGGCGTCTTTTCCTTCGTGTAGCCGTTTCCGCCCTCGCACGTTCGATGTATACATCAATAAAGAGTCAGATATGTGCCATCGGCCCGATTTCACCTCTCTCTTCGCTTAGTCGGCCCTAACAGGAAGTATAAGGGCATTATTTTCTTCATTTCCTAGCCAAAACTTATGTTTTTATGAACAATAAACTCAAGGTGAATCTGAGGCTTGTTCGTCTTAAATGGACTTACCGTTAGTCACTCACTAATGTCAACTGATTCATGTTTGTGACACTTGACGCTGATTTTTCATTAATTTCCTCCTCCTTCTCAAACCTCAGAAGGTCAACATTTACAAGTATTGCGTAAGAGATAACGGTCTCACATTCTTTGAAGTCTTTTTACCGTTAACGATAGAAATGTATTCTCGGTATGAGAAAAAATCCAAGAAAAAAGAATAACATAATACGGTTACTGCTCCGCCAGCATTTGATCAGCGGCAAACGATTACTATTTTTTTTCTTATCAGTTTCACACGAATGTACATGTGAGACAAAAACAAGAAAGAAAAAAAAACCACACATCTTTATCCAGTTAGATTTACTGACAATAAAAAGGCTGATGAAAATCGACAAACGCTACGATAAAAAGGAGAAAGATGAAGATATTAAAAGATTAGTGCCGAACATTGGGATCATTTGTCGTGCATTTATATTCACAGCAGCAACAAATTATTTTTTAGATTATTTTTTGTGTCCGATGTCTGAAAATCATTCTTCTCAAAATCATACGGCCAATTTGTCATTAGATGAGGTCATTGATCAGCTCACTCAACAGCTACAACAATTATTTGATAATGATCAAATGAATTTGGACGATAAAACAAAAGCCCTAATGCCGCTCGAAAAAAAAAATAATCACTTAAGGCAAACTATCAATCGATCAGATCTAGACAAGCACCTAAAATTGAAAGACAATGATAAGCTCGTTCGACTTATTCGTAAAAAAAATGAAGATGAAGCTCGTCATCAACGACAGCAGACAAGACGTGAACAGGAACAAGCGGAAGCGAAAAACAAACGTTTGTTGTTGAGTGCGATTAGTGTTGGTATAATACTTCTCGCGGTGTTCAGATTCAAGAAGTAGGCTAGGCTTCACTGTGGCCACTACTATTTCGAATACTTACTTTTTTAAAATATTCATGGTCTCGACTGTAAAAAATTTTATTCAAATTCGATTGCACTACCCATGTCAAATTTTTTTAACGATTTCTGCAGATATGTGCGATTTTTGGCACTTTTATGGCCACACTAGCGCAGAACCAGAAAACGCATGGTTCTTATATGCGTTTTCTTGCGCTGTACTTTTATCACGCAAAAATAAACAAGAAAACAATGGCTTTTTGCCTTTTATCGCAGAATTTCTTTTTTTGCGTTACACTGCGTGTGTTTTTTCAATAAAATTTTTGCGAAATTTTTTTTGGTTTAATAGAAAAAGCGATGACTCATTGGGATCACTCATCGATGAGTCACCGTAAATAGTGTATAATTTGAAAAAGCGGAATATGTGCATCCGTGTATTTATATAAATGATCCTTTTACATTGAAAATTTACTTAGAAAATTTTTCTAAGTGACTCCTCCTAGCTTGGAGGAGACTGCGGGTAGCAGATCGCGATTTGCTGGCTGCAGACCTGGGGGTAAGCCACGAGGCTTGCCTGGGGTTCGATAATTGTCTGAGAAACTCAGAAAGTTTTATTGTTGTAATTACAGACAATAATATTTCATGCATAAAAACGATGACATTTTCTTGCGTTTTATCTCAAAAATTTTTGTATCTGCAGAAAAACGCAGAAGAAATTCGTGCGTGTGATGTTACGTGAGACACGGACATTTTACGACAGATTTTTGCAAAACAACAAATGCGAATTTTTGCAGTTTTTTGCGTTAAATATCTCCCGAAATTTCAAGACCGTATACCATCTTCCAATAAATAAACTTTGAAAAAAAATTTGCAAAGACTTTCAAAAAGTCTCTGGATCGAAAGATACGAACAAAAAACCGAATATCCTCCTTGTGTTCTTTCAAAACATTTCTTTCCTATTTCCTATTGAAATCATCTCCATCACTTGCCAATTGTTCTCATTCTCATTGCGATATTTTTGAAGCAACTCGAGATGATATACGGTATTGTCAAATATCGCCCATGCGACTTGATATTATCAGCAAACGTTTTCCATGCGAATAAACTTTTCGCCTTTTCCTTCCATCTCGATTATGTTTGTTTTTCAAACACAGAATTACTCGAGTTCACAATAAAATCCCTAAATTTTCAAATTAGATCACTCATGGTTTCTACCAACCGACAAATGCCTCATTATTTTATGCATAAAATAATGTAACAAAAAGTTCATTGTCATAGACAGTCTGTATCACCTCAATTCCGCCAGTTCCCCGGGGAAATCATGATAGGTTCCTTCTAGGTGCCCAGTAGGAAGTGAGGAACTATCATCAGCAGAACTGCATCGATTCCTCGATTCACCGGCTTTTTGTTCTTTTTCCAGGAAATATTTCTTACTATACACTCTGTGTCACCTCAATTCCGCCAGTTCCCCGGGGAAATGATGGTAGGTTCCTTCTAGGTACGTAGTGGGAACTCAGGAACTGTCGGCAGAACTGAGTCAATTCCTCGATTCCCCGCCTTTTCTTTCTTTTTCCAGGAAATATTTCATAGTATACAGTCGGTGTCACCTCGGTTCCGCCAGTTCACCTGGGAACCGATGGTAGGTTCATTCTGGGCACTTGGTATGAACTGATGAACTGTCGGCAGAGCTGAGTCAATTCCTCGATTGCCCGGCTTTTTATTCTTTTTCCGGGAAATATTTCTTACTATACACTCTGTGTCACCTCAATTCCGCCAGTTCCCCGGGGAAATGATGGTAGGTTCCTTCTAGGTACGTAGTAGGAACTCAGGAACTGTCGGCAGAACTGAGTCAATTCCTCGATTCCCCGACTTTTTTTTCTGTTTTCAGGAAATATTTCTTAGTATATAGTCTGTGTCACCTCAATTCCGCCAGTTCCCCCGGGGAAATGATGGTAGGTTCCTTCTAGGTACCCAGTAGGAGGTGGGGAACTGTCAGCAGAACTGCGTCAATTCCTCCATTCCCCGGCTTTTTAGTTTTTCCAGGAAATATTTCTTCGTATATAGTCTGTGTCACCTCAATTCCGCCAGATCCCCGGGGAAATGATGGTAGGTTCCTTCTAGGTACGTAGTAGGAACTCAGGAACTGTCGGCAGAACTACGTCAATTCCTCGATTCCCAGCCTTTTCTTTCTTTTTCCAGGAAATATTTCATAGTATACAGTCGGTGTCACCTCGGCTCGGCCAGTTCCCCTGGGAACCGATGGTAGGTTCATTCTGGGCACTTGGTATGAACTGATGAACTGTCGGCAGAACTGAGTCAATTCCTCGATTCCCCGGCTTTTTTTTCTTTTTCCAGAAAATATTTCTTACTATACAGTCTGTGTCACCTCAATTCCGCCAATTCCCCGGGGAAATGATGCTAGGTGCCCTATAGGTAGCCAGTAGGTGGTGCGGAACTGTCAGCAGAACTGCGTCAATTTTCCCGGCTTTTTTTCTGTTTTCAGGAAATATTTCTTACTATACACTCTGTGTGAACTCAATTCCGCCAGTTCCCCGGGGAAATGATGATCCGTGCCCTATAGGTAGCCAGTAGGAACTCAGGAACTATCAGCAGAACTACGTCAGTTCCTCGTTTCCGCGGCTTCTTTTCTTTTTCCAGGAAATATTTCTTACTATACAGTCTGTGTCACCTCAATTCCGCCAGTTCCCCGGGGAAATGATGGTAGGTGCCCTATAGGTAGCCAGTAGGAGGTGAGGAACTGTCAGCAGAACTGCGTCAATTCCTCCATTCCCCGGCTTTTTAGTTTTTCCAGGAAATATTTCTTCGTATATAGTCTGTGTCACCTCAATTCCGCCAGATCCCCGGGGAAATGATGGTAGGT